AGCTTCCAGTGCTGAAGTCTCGAGGAATGAGAGACCTTCCTTCTCAGCCAAGCTTTCTGCATCTTCCGTTGAGACTGCTCTAAGATGATTCAGATCAGATTTGTTTCCAGCCATCATAATGACGATGTTTGAATCTGCATGGTCTCTCAGTTCACGCAGCCACCTCAGGACATTTTCGAAGGTTTGCCTTTTAGTTATGTCATAAACCAAAAGCGCTCCAACTGCACCTCTATAGTAAGCACTTGTAATGGCGCGGTACCTCTCTTGACCAGCAGTATCCCATATCTGCGCCTTAACTGTCTTCCCTTCCACCTGAAATCCAAGAAACTGCTCCTAAGCTCAGGTAGAAAAATGCAAATCAAAATACTACATCAAGTCAAGACCATTAATTTGTTATGCTTTAATTTTGTCAGAATTCAGCAGAGTAACCAATTAGATCTTTGATAACAATTATGTATTTCATAATTATTTAATTCACGAAAATTTCTTTTCTTCTACCATGATTTTTCAGCTATCACAACCACCGTTGCTTCATGTAGTAGTAAATGCATTTCTTCTATCTTGGTATGACCAGAACGTAACATAGTTTAAGGCTTTTATTGAAAACCTTTCGTGACCAATTTATTCTTCCCATGTCTTTTCGTGATGATACCGAGTGAACTTGAAAGGATAATATTGCTACATCTCAACTTCCCAAAACCATGTGCAAAAGTTAAGAAATGTTTCTTTTCATACTGATAAAAGAAAACGGAAAAGAAGAATAAAAACTCAAAATCTTATAATGGCGTAAGAAGACGTTGATAGTAATTCCACGCGCTAAGAAGTATCCATTAATGTTAAGATAGGTAGAGCATAATTATTTCCCTGACGTTAATTGTTCTTACATAAATTTAAATATGCAGATCGACCATGCAACGGTTGCAAAGTGGACGCAGCTCTCAAGTTGAGAGTGAACTATTATATATAAATCGCATGTGGTCTTTTTTTTTTTTTTTGGCGCTTGTTTATTATCATTTTTCAGAATTAAGGATTTAATCTTAACAACTAGATCATCAATGACTAGTTGCACTAATACATATAGTCTTGCTTGTATGAGAAAAAAGGCTTCTCGGAAAATATCTACAAAGAATTTTCAATGTAATTTGAATTTCATTAACAATTTAACATATATTGTTGCTTGATTCACAAATTTAGTGTCTAATATTATAGAAAATATCAGAATCATGTGGTTAAAAATGATGCTGCAATGATCAGTAGGACAATAGTGAGCAACTAAGCCACATACGGTAAAGATAATTAAATCAAATGTATATAAAAAGCCAACCTGAAGAGTCCTTGTTGCAAATTCAACTCCAATGGTTGACTTGGACTCCAAGCAAAACTCATTTCTTGTAAATCTTGAAAGAATATTAGATTTTCCCACACCCGAATCTCCAATCAATACAATCTTGAATAAATAATCATATTCATGATCCACTTTATATGCCATTTACAATTATCTTTTATGATATCCAAAACCTGCTGGATCAAAAAAAAAAAAAAGATAATAATAATAACTTTCATTATATCAAACAATCCAAATTTGACTTAAAGATTGTTATCCAATACCCTGAATTTCTTCATATTTAAGTAATTAGAAGACCAAATATAAGAATCTTTTTATTTTCAAAGAAAATGAAGAGAAAAAAAAATTAGATGTGAAAGAAGAGAAGAGACTAACCATAAAATGACGGTTGGTTAATATTGATTATTGATTATTGATAGAAAATGGTGATTAGTGAAATTCAGGAATTTGTTGTCTGTTTTGTTGAAAGTTCTTGCATAGAGAGAGAAAGGCTCCTCAGGAGAAAGGAAGCATTGCCTTCCATAGCCAAAGAGAGAAAAACAGAATAACGGACGAAAAGGCACTTAAAACGGTCTTTCGATGGGATCCAACCAGCTAAATTCGGCCACTAAAAATAATTTTCCTTTCTTTTTTTCTAAAGAAAAGGGTTCATTCGTTTAACAAAATATTACACATTTACACTCCAACAAAACCTTTTTCCTGGTCGAAGAAAAGTTCGGACCATTGGATCTTCATGGCCTTTCGGATTTTTTTCTTTTTTATAGTAGAGTTTTATAGTAGAGGTTGTCGAGGTTTACAACCTAAACATTGGAACTAAAAATTTAATATTTTAACAACAAATTACATGACTATTAGCTAAATGTTTTCATTATTAATGGGTCTGAATATTTTTGACTAGGTCAAATAATTATTAGAACAAAGAAAAACTAAATCAAACAGGTTTCATGACCCAACATTTAATACAAACAAATAATAAGAAAAGATCCAACAAATTTTCTTGATAATTATGTCAGATAAGATCACAAATAAAATTGGGATTGGTTGATTAAATTGGTTGAGCCGAATAGCAAACAGGAGAGCTAGCAGGGCATTTATGTGTGCAAGAAAAATTTTTGTTAAAGTGTTAATACTTTTGTATAACTTGATAATTTTATGTTCTAAAGTCAACATCATTTTTTAGGCCAGATTAGAAAAGATTTATCGAAAATATTATGTTTGATGCTTTTTGTGAAAAAAAAGAAGAAATTATTTTTTTGGGTATTTAATTCTTGAATTTTAGGAAAAAAAAGTGATTTAGGAAAAAAATGATATTGAAGGAGAATGTATGATTTCTAAATTTTATTGACTTAACTAATATAAAATTTTTATGTTTGATTCATAAGAATGTAAGATTATTTAATAAAATTTTTTATTATATAATCCTTGATAACATATGAATAATATGTGATATTCATAATATAAATATGTGAATAACACATTATTTTTGTTAAAACTAAATAATTAAATTTTTTTTTTTATATTTTCAATAAATATAAATTTAAAATTCTAATTATTATCCTAATGTTTATTGTCCCAATGTAGAGAAAATATGTGGATTGATCTTTCAATAAGATTGATTGGGGGGGGGGGGGATTAGAAGGGGGGTGGTAAACCCTTTTCCTGGGGACTTTTGAGGGCGAAGCTTATGGAACAAATTTTATATATAATAATATTAAGTAAATGTATTTTAGATTTTATATGTAATAATACTATAAAATATTTTATTTTTTTTTTCATATTTTCAATAAAAGATTGCATTTTTATTTTAAAATTGTCATTTTTTCAACAAGAACTACATTTTTTATCTAAGAAACAATATATTTGTTAAATTTTAAAAAATATATATTTTCATATTTTTGACAAAGGTTGTGTTTTTTATATTAGAAAAATCATCTTTTTAGTAAAAACTATGTTTTTATCTCAGAAAAGTCATTTTTTAATAAAAAAAATATGTTTTTATCTTAGAAATATCATCTTTATTGAATTCTTAAAAATATATATTTTTTATATTTTCAACAAAAACTATGTTTTTTTTCTTAAAAATGTTGTCTTTTCAACAATGACTATATTTTATATTTCAGAAACATCGTCTTTGTTGAATTCTAAAAACTATTTTTTTTTCATATTTTCAACAAAAATTATATTTTTATTTTTTTCAACATTATTTTTCAACAAAAAACTACGTTTTCTATCTTAAAAATATCGTGTTTATTGAATTCTGAAATTTTTTTTCATATTTTTAACAAGGACTATATTTTTACTTTTTATCAAAAAGTAATATGCTTTTTTATCTTAAAAATGTTATTTTTGTTAAATTCTAAAAAAATAATTTTTTTAACATTTTTAATAAAAACTACATTTATTTGTCTTAGAAACGTCATTTTTGTTGAATTATGAAAAATATATAATTTTTATCTTTACAATAAAGATCTTCTTTTTAATAATAATTTTTATGAGAATTTCAATAACACTTTATTTAAAACGTGATATTTGTTTAAAATATATTAAAAAAAATTATTTTCATAATATTTTATATAAAAATTATTACATCTATAATGTAAATAATATTATTTATATAATATAAAAATAGAGTTAAATGAGGACAAATAAAAAAAGAAATTTACTTTTCCTTAGAAATCTTAAAAGACCTAAGGGGAGGAAAGTTTTTTATTCTCCCTTGTTTTATAATTTCTTGACCCCGTTAAAAATCTTAAAAAATCTGTAAAATTTAACCAAATAAAAAAAAGATTCCAAGAGAAAAATTACTTCCTCAAACCAAACACCTCGTTTTGGGATTTCCATTCATAGCTGTGCACCTAATACGATAACTTGTAGATAAACTTACCCATAGAATGGAAGCATCAATTATGATTAGATCATATTCCTTTTCTTTTCTATTTTATTTTTAGTTGTTTAAGGATTAAATCAGACATGAATACTAAACCAACATTCATGAATAAGCCTGGGGTAATGCCTGCAAAAGCTTACTTCCAGTAGCATGTTTTTGATGGAATTGACTATTATATTTTGGCAGTTGGAATGTCTTTGTTTCTTCTTATTTGCATTGGCTACTTAATCTACGAAATTGACTTTTTAATTATTCAAGTTATTTTGTTTTGCAAAAGTTTGTGGTAATCAATGAAAAAGGTCACTTTCCATCTCTGGAATATATACATTTAGAATAAGACCGATGATTATTTCTAAGTTTGTGATTGTTCAAAGCCAAATGTCACATTATACAAGATAGATGGCTATAGAATTTCCTTAACTTGAAACTTTTAACATTTGAACAATTCTTAAAATTATTTTTAATTATTTTGGCCGATTTTAAATGATTTTTAATCATCACCATTTGATTGTTTCCTCAATTATTTTCCCACAATTTGTATCCCCAATTTCACAATTGTCAAATGGAAAAAAAGGGATACAGCATAGTTCTGCAATTAGGCAATGTTCATCCATACGAATAATTTTTTATATAGTTTACTTGGTTTTATTTATTCATATTATACATTATCTTAATGAATCTATGGATCATTACACCTGACTTTTATAAAAAAAAATTTAAGTTGTATTAGAACTAACCATATAGTACCTGATACCGTTTCGTAAAGAACTCAATAGAGGTTAGTTTTTTCCTTCTAGGAATCAGTCTAAAGATCATATTCTGATTTAATATATAAAAATCCACAACTAATACTTGGACAAACACAGTGTCAAACATACTTGAAAGGCTTTTAGTTGATCATTCTTCCAATGGAAGGCAAAAATTTATCTCTTCTTCACTGTCTTCTCCTCCATGGCCTTATCTTGGCTCTGGTTACTAAGAGGGCAACATGTCAATCCAATAAAAAGGCAATATTTTACAGTCATGTCTTAATCATGCTTTCTTGCTTTTTCATGAATCATGCCGAAAGGAAAGAATGGAATTTCTTTAACTTTGACTTTTTTTTTTTACCTTGGAATTTGCAGAGCTATATTGTATACATGGGCAACCAGCGAAAGGATGGGAGTTCCACATCCTCACTTCATAAAAGCATGCTACAAGATCCCTTTGGCAGGTATTAATCAATAGTGATTTTAATTAATTGCTATCACATTTTCAATGTAAACAATTTGAACCATTTATTACAAATGGAGAATATGCTAGGCTGGTTTGGTTGCTGCCAATTATCAAAGTAGTACTATCAATAAATTTGCTTCAAGTTCAAAGATGATGGAAACTTTGTAGGAACAATTGAAAATCAGTTTCCATAATTCAGAGACAAAATGAAACTTTGGTTCATATAATTATGTCACGTCCCAAGATCGAAACATAACATAGCCATATTACTTTGAAGTACAACCCCAAAGCAATACGAAGCTTAATCCATAATCATTGAAAAATCTTCAAATAAAATAAGGTTTTCAATAAGTTTTAATATTTGTAAAATAACTAAATAACAAGTCTTCAAAGATTCAATATCGAGTGTTACAACTAAAAGAAATGATACTTCATAAAATCCTATTCTCTAAGTTGTTCTCCAACGCTCAGATTCTTCTAGCTCCTCACAAGACTAATCATACTCATCATTCATATCATTTGTAAAAGAAAAAAAAATCAGGAATGAGTAAACTATAGCTCAGCAAGTGTCATAACTTATAGATCCGTAGACTTACCGCTAGACATGGATGAAAGAGATTGGCACCAATTTTTTTTGTTTAGGTGTGATTGGCCACCTGATTGAATATGATATGCAAAGCAGATGTTAGGTTCGAGAGTCGATTACTTATGGGGAAGGCTGTAGCACCCTTATAATGCCCATCAAGGGATGGTACCAGTTTGATTTCAAATTATCTAAACCTTGACTATTTTTTATGATTTTACCAAATAATTTAATATTAAAAATTAACCCAAAAATTATCCAAAAAGTTTGGTAGCAATTTAGGATAATTCTCTCACTTCAGGAGTATTTATGGAGACTAGTGTCCCACTCTGAAGAGGTTCCGTCATCAGATTTATTAATTTATTTCAAGAAGAATGGGTGAAACCTCCTAACAGTTTGGTAAGGCCTACTTCAAAGCAATCCTCTAATAGTTTAAAGGATAAAAATAACTCTTATTTATTTGAAAATATATATTTTTTGATTGGAATGATTTTTTTATTTATTTTTCATTTTTTTAAATTATTTGTTTTCATTTTTTTTCTTACTTCATTTTTTTTTTTGGAAATAAAAATGACAGAAACAACTTTTTTTTTAAATAAAACCAAAAAATAGGAACATAGGTTAAAAATAAATAAAATAAAATCAAAATCAAAATCAGAATATAAAAATAAAATGAAAAAAGAAAAACCTACGATCGCGTCAGGTTAAGGCGTAGGTCAACACGTGGGTCACCGAGTCTAGCGCAGATCCTAGCTTATCTGAAACAATGTCATTCAGCTACTGTATAAAAGCTAAGCTTCAGCGCTTTTCTTCAAAAGCTTTTTGTTTTTTCTTTCTCTACCTCAACTTTTCTCTGCCTTTTTTCTAGAGCTACCAATCAAAAACTTCAACCAGAGATTGGAATTCCACTAGTTTCTAGAAAAGTTACTAAAAATTTCAAACGGTACCTGTTGATTTTTGGAAATATGGTCGAATTCTGGAATCTCGTTAGAGTCTCACTAGAAACTTCAAACGGTCGCCAGAAAATTCATTGAAAAATTCATGTTCTTTTTCAAAAACCCAAAAAAACTAAAAAAACCCAAATTTCTTTGAATGTTCCCTAGATTTCTTCAAATTTTGCCTAGATTACTCCCAAAACCTCCTAGAATTGTACTGAGCCCTAATCCTAACCCAAAAACCTAAAATCAATCCCATAATTCTAGATTGAACTGCATAACCCAAAATTGAACTGCCAAACCCTTTCTACCTAGTATTTCCTAAATTTTTCATAGTTTTCTCTCTCATAATTTTTTTTTGTTTTTGTGTGTAGAAATTAATCTAATTTATAGGCAGCCTAGGATTAGTTTAAGAAAACGGACAGAATCAATCTCAAGCTTAATTCCTAGATTGAATTTTGTTAGAACAGGATTTTAGGTCCCAAGATTTCAGCAATCCCATGCTAATACGATTTGACATTAAAATTTTGACTAAGCAAGATTTCAATCCTAATTTTGAGTTTTTGTTCATGTGTGGATTAAAACCAAAAAAAGAATGTAGCAAAGAAAAAAAATAGAAAAAAACAAGAAAAAAAAATAAACAAGCTATCCACTTAGGCCTAAACCTAAATGGACCTAAATGGGCCCTAAACATTAATGGGCCTAGTTATGTTCAGACATTGATTGGCCCAATTGGGTCTAGACCTTAATGGGCTCAGACACAAATAAGTGTTTACAGCTGTCTTTATGTGCATATCTTTGTTAGATGAAGATGATGCAAAGACCTAGACACCTATTCTATTCAAGTCAAATCAGTGAGTAAAACCAATCCGGGTGACCCTTAGGTCGAAAGCAAAATGATTTAACCTGAGCCAAGATCGAGTGATTGAGATTTTATCGTAAATCTAATGGTGACCAAGACAGAGTAGAGGTTGTAAATAAATGATCGGATTGATGTCGTGAATCTAAAAATGATCTGACCTGAGTTAGGATCAAATGACTGAAATGATGTCACGAGTTAAAATAAAGTGACCAGGACCGAATCGAGGTAAAAAATAAATGATCAGACTGATGTTATGAGTCTGAAGATCATCTAACATGAGTCGAAATCAAATGATTGGGACGATGCTGTAAGTTAAAAGGTGACTAAGACTAAGTCAAAGTTATAAATAAATGATCGAACTGATGTCACAAATCTGAAGATGATTTAACCTAAGTCAAGATCAAATGATTAAGATGATGTTACAAGTCAAAATGAAGCAACTAAGACTGAGTCGAGATTGAAAATTAATGATCGAACTGATGTTGCAGGTTTGAAGATGATTTAACATAAGTCAAGATCAAATGACTGGGACAATGATGCAAGTGAAAAGGCGATCAAGATCGAGTCAAGGTCATAAATGAATGACTGGACTGATGTCATGAGTTTGAAGATGATTTGACTTATGTTAAGATCAAATGATCGAGATGATGTCGCAAGTTAAAATGAAACAACCAGGACGAGTCGAGGTAAAAAATGAATGACTGGACTGATGTTGCAAGTTTGAAGATGATCTAACATGAGTTGAGATCAAATGAGTGGATAGTGCAAGTGCATGTCTTATGCAAATGAAACATTAATTGCAGTACTAAGGCTTTCACATTCTCATTTCTTCACCTTTGGTAGAGAAATCATCTTTCATTATCCTGAATATTTATCTTCACTATACATTTTAGCGAAGAAATCATCCTTCATTAACCTGAATACACATATTTGGTAAAAAAACTATTTTTCATCTGCTTGAAGGCAAGGAAACTATTTTTCGTCAGCCTAAATGTTTATCCCAAGAAAAGCCATAGAAGTCAAAAAATTTTTAAGAGGTATTCATCCTTTGCCTTTATCTTTTTTTATTCTTCACGGTAATACACTACTTCTTATGATTTTGTTTCATTAATCATTATCCCAGTTTCAAAGTGTAGGATTCAAGGTATGTATTTCTTCTATTCATGAATAGGTATAAAGAGAAAAGACAAATATATTGACAATGTATAAAACTAAGAGAGAACAATAAGACGACTTTCATTTATTTGGGTAATCAATTACAAATGATAGTGTGGAGATAAAAAGAATGCATAGGAGCAGTTACTTTGGGGTAGCAGTGCCCCAAGACAAATGATTAGATAACCATGACAACAAATCCTATATCTTCTTAGAAAACTTAATCAAGATATGATGTCCCGACACTTTAAAGTTCTTTAAAATTCACTATCTCTGATATGCCTTCCAAGTGATGCCATACTCTATTCAAGCTGCCTTTCAAGGTTTTAATCTGCATCTCTTCCTTTGGATCTAAGTCACCCTTTCAAGTTTTCAACTTGATTCCCTTCCTTTTTTTATTTTTTTTTATTTTTTTTATGTTAAGTAAAATACTTCTTCATTACATCAAAATCAATAGGATCGAGAAGTTCATCTCCATCCATTTTTGACAAAATTAATGCTCCTCCCGAAAAACCTCTTTTTATAACATAGAGCATTTCTAATTCGAGGTCCATTTCCTTCTATTATTATGCTGACTTGGAAAAATTATTTTCAATACCAACTCTCATTCTCAAAATTGATGAGGTTTGACCTTCTTGTCATAAGCTCTCATCATTTATTTTTGGTACAATTGGCCATAGCATAATGCCATCAATCTCTTCTCCTTAATAAAGTTTAATTGCTTATAGTGCTCTTAAATCCATTTAGCTTCTTCTAATCCCATTTCCCTTAGGAATTTATACTTCTACCAACAATATAGCTTCCATCTCATAAACCAAGATAAAAAAAATTACCCCAGTAGAGGTGCGCACAAAAGTTCGATATGTATGTAGAGCAAAAGGTAATCTTTCATGCTAGTCCTTGTATATTTTAGTCATCTTCTCCAAAATCCTTTTGATGTTTTTGTTTGCAGCTTTTATTGCCTTATTCATTTTTGGATGGTATGGAGCCGAATTGTGGTGTTTGATTTTGAACTAAGCATATACTTCTTGCATCATCTTGATGTTCAAATTCTTTGCATTGTCTGAGATTATTCTTTCTGAGAGCCCATATTTGTAGATGATTTTCTTTTTGAAGAATTTACAGACCATGGATGTAGTCATGGTTGTGAAAGAGGTAGCTTCGACCCATTTAATAAAGTAATCAATCATCACAAAAATGAATCTATTTCTATTTGAGGCCTTTAATGTGATAGGCCTAATGACATCCATCCTACACATAAAAAATGGTCAAGGTGGTCTATGACATGCAAAGTTCTGGGTGAAGCATGAATCTTGTTAATATAAATCTAGCATATATGGCATTTTTTAGCATAATTGATGTAATCTTTTTTCATTGTCGACCAGTAATATCCAGCTCGCATAACTTGTCTCGCTATCATATGTCCATTTACATGTGCTCCACATACACCATTATGCATTTTT